TGGGCTCTTTACTGCCGGAGCTCTGCTCCTGTACGCTCCTGCGGGAAACGACCCCTGACTGGGAGTCTCATATCATTCTTGAGCTAGGCAGACCTCAGGCAGGCAGATTGTTGCCAGTGACTCCAGGTTGCCCTGATCTCGCCTCGGCCTCAAGAACAGAAAAGCCCTGCTGGATCGCAGCAAACACCCCAGCCCAGCATTCAGCAACTGCTTGGTGTTTTTCTCCTACTGCAGCCCTGAGCCCACCAACTGCTGCACCTCCACCCTCGCTCTCTGCCTGGCTTCTGCCCCCCCCCAAGGTCTCTTGCCACCATCCCATCCTGGATGAGCATTTACATATGAATGTCTTGTTTGCAGCAGCTGCTGCTCCATCTCTCTGCTCACCCACCGCAGCATAGTGAGAGAGGCTGGGCAGGTTCCAGTTTAAATTTCACACATGTGCACACAGCTATCCGCAGTGCGTGCACGCATCAGTCCAATGCGCACACATCATGCAAAGTGCATGGTGGCTCTGAAACATAAGGAAGGCAGGAGATAAATGTTTTAATAAATAAGCAACATTTTAAAATAAAAATATTTCTTATATTGTAAACACATTAAAGACCAGTTAAAGTCTTTAATTAAAGGCTAGTTTTCCTGCCCACTTCTGTGGGCATGGAAGTGGGGCTGGGTGGGAGAGCTCAGGTTGACTTTTCCCTAGTCAGTGGACAATGCTACATGCAGGACTTGAAGGGAACAGCCCTTCCCAGTCTCTGGTGTTCAGAGGGATGCATGAAAGGATGGACATTTCATTTGGCTGTCTTGCTGGAAGCCGTTGTTAGACCTTTCATCCATGAAGAAGTCTTGCTGGCTTCTAGAATGGGGAGGAGGTGAAATTTGAATCCACAACTCCAGGAAGAGATTATGATTCCTTGGACTTTGCATCCCAGGACCTCTGCTGAAGACTGCATTCCTGGACAATACTTGTAGCTCCTCCCCCCCCCAGGACTCAATTGGAGCTCCTCCCCCTCCCCAGAACTCATAGTCAGGAAGGTGACAGAGCATTGGCTAGGGGGGTCTTCCATCATCTCTTTCAGCTGCTCTCACTTTCTCTTTTCTTTTTTTTTTTAAGCCCCCGGAGGGGATTTTTTATTATTTTTTCAAACTACAAAAAACTACTACAGAAAAAAACAGGAAGGGGTACTACATATACAGGATAAAGAAAAGATACCCACACTACCTAAAAACC